GTTTAAATAATTTCAATGGTATTTTCTAGTTAACATTTTTTTCTCCTACTGGACGGAGTTACAAACTACACACCCAAATCTCTTACTTTTGTCTGTTCTTGAGGTTGGCTATAACCCATAAAGACTCCAGGTGGAGCCGAAAGAGTTATCATACAAAATGTTTGTAATCATAAAGTGTCAGAATTCTCGTGCAAATAGACTGTAAAGTTTTCAGGTCATTTCTTGAGTTATAGATGATACAAAGTTTCGTCTCACTGGTTTATTAGTCACTTTTTAGCTATGATGAGACGATTAGCTACCAACAAATAATACAAAGGTATCTGTCATCGATTTGTATGAATTGAATAGAACAAAGTGAGGACGTACATAGGCTAGATTGAATTAGACAGATAGATTAAAGGCTAATACACAACAACAATTAATGGCGACAATCCATTCTGTTAAGAAGATGAAAGATGTAATTATCAATTAAATTAAGTCATGATAAACTTTATAAGGTAAATTTGCCAAGTATCAGTTACCTAACAGAGATGAGTTACAAAGATTACAATAATATCAAGAAACAAAAGGTTGCCGACTGTGAAATCTTGAATGATGAATTGGTGACATCTTTCGACATCATAGACTTACACAACTTAATTGAACCAAAATCTATCCCTTCTCTACATCAATAATACAAACCTTTGCGAATACACAAAAACCAAATGTAAGAACTCAATTGCTGCCATCAGCGCACGTGTATAAACATATTTCTAATTCAACTGTAACACATACAAACAAACAAAAGGAACCTCGGGAATATCTTTAGTATCTGGATTAACTGAAGAAGCCATAATTCAGACTGAAATCTTCAGTCTTATCAATGATCAAGCCAAAAACTTTGAAAATGCCGTGAAGACGGCACATCTGTCGTAGCCAAAAATGATTAGTGGTAGATTATTAACAATTTGGTCCGAAAATGTTTTTGATGATGAAATGTTCACATCACAAGCGAAACCAGAAAACATACTGTCATTCTTCGAAATCCTGATCACCATAACCAGTATGTGCAAACTTGAGATTCAAGTGTACTGAAGCCAACCTATACTGATCAAAGATTCACTTACTGCAACGATAACCCAATGATTCGTAAATTGAGCTGTTTACAAACCTTTTTCAAAAGAATTAACACACCATGCAGGATCACTGTTACGCTAATAAATATAATGAAATACCTGATGAATGTATTTGGAATAATGACTGCTCCCAAAACTTCGTCCAGAAATTTTTATCGGGGGGACTATCTGGCATAAAATTAACAGCAAAATTGAAAAGACAGATAATCCTGAGATGCATTAAAAGCATCTCACATGTCAAAAACAGATTACTAAGGCCACTAGTAATAGGTACATTCTACAATTCCACAAAGTCTTCACGATCAGTATCGTGAAAGCAAAGAACGCAACAAAGAAAGCAGGCACATTAAAAAGTATCGACATGATAAACTGGAGCAACCGCAGGAAACAGTATATAAGATGAAATTACTACCTTCTTCATCTGCGTCAACATTGTTAAACACCATGGTATAACGTTGTTTATGCTGATACACAGGAACAGATATATGTATGATTGATGGTTGGATCGAATCCCACACTTCCAGAAGTTCTTTGGAATTCTTTTAATTTCTTCCATCCAGAATATTAAAGTTCTCTTAATCTAATTCCTGTCCGTGGATGTTCATGAATGTTCAGGAAGATTGACAAAAAACAATAACTGAATTTTAAAATTTTTATTTCTTAAGATATATTTGTGACCGAATCATTTTCGTTAAGTTAGTTTGTGGGAATATGTTAATTGAAATATAATTAAAACACAAATACATGAAAGATAATTTCTCATTATAGACTGATTTAGCTCAAGAATCATTCAAAATTTAAGAGGCAAAGGAAAAGTTGGTTTAATGAAGTTCATTATTTTTATTGAACATGTTCAATATGATCCCGTTTGTAATTGTGAGCATAGAAAAGTCATAATTAGAATAAAACATTTATTTGATGCTTCCTAGTATCTTCTTATGGTTCTTGAAAAACTCAATTCCTGACGAAAAATTGCTACCTTTAAAGAGATAACGATATTATTTAAACGAGAGAAACGGAGAGAAATTTAGCAACATAACAACAGTACAAACTAAACTATTCACTGGATCGCAGCCCTGCTAACTTGAGGGAAAAGACCAAGTTCAGCAGAGGGAAAAGTATATTCCACAAGTAGTTGGAAGCACGGACGAACAAACACACAACTCAAGGGTATATACACAGTATAAAAATGTCTTCAGGAAACGTCACAAAATAGCATATTAACAGAGGGAATGAGCCATTGCTATTTAAGGTCCTTCCATGTGGTAAATAAAAACTGAAGGTAATAATCGGCGCTTTTAGCACGAAAATGATAAATTCAAAATTTTGAAATAAAATTACAAAAGTAAGGCGTTTACTAGGCGACTTCTGGGGATCTAGCATACCCAGAAGAAATAATCTTTCTAATTGACTTCAGTTTAACTTATTTAAAAACTGGAGATGCTAAGATACCAATTTACTACAAATAGACAGTTAAATATAAGTGGTAACAATTCAGATTAACTATTGTGTTTAATGTGTGACCACACACTAGATATTGAAAGGTAAAATTGAAAATGAATTAGATTTTTCAAGTAGACAAGCTAATCGATTGCCTCAGCGATTTTAGCAGGAGTTTCTAACGTCTTTTTAGTTAGTAGCCTTAATTCATACTATAACTAATTGATCACTGAGTAGTTCCCGATACCATGTTTGTTTGGTTCTTTAGTAGTAGTCGAAACCTATCGATTGATTTGTAATATGGCCATTAGTTTGATTAACTTAACATAGGGTTTCTCTGTGAATTTGTATAGGATGGTTGGATATAATCAACAAGAAAACCTAAAAATGGATTTGGTTACTATTCACTTAATAATCTATTGTGAATATGTCAGTTATAGAGGAGTCATTCGCAGCTTAACTATCTCAGTGGCAACGTCTCAAATTATGAAGTCGTGTAATATTGAATCAAGTCGACCAAGGAGCACCAGTTTCTTCAATATTGCAAATGTACTCTACTGATTAAGTGTCAAGTAGCACGAAATCCATGTCCAGGATTTATTGCCAGGGGGGGTGATTATGAATACAGTGGTCTTGAGTGCTGTTAGAGGTATGAGGGCGGTTATCACTTCCCGGTTGCCCACACCGTGGAAGGGTTCTTCTGGAGGTGCCTGAAAAGGAAATTGGATTAGAGATGGTCTTAGTGACCTGAGAGCGTGACTGCAATGCCCAAGAGACAACTGCGTGAGGTCGGTCACACACGACCATTTTATGGGTAATTTTTGTGTTAGCTCCGTACTTGTTGAGACCTTACCGCCGGAGACGGATATCCGTGGGATAAGGCGAGGTGTGCATTTTTAGGGTCGACCTTTTCTAGCCACAACCCTCCTTGTGGGAAGGCAGTATCGCTGTCATGCTGGTTGTCTGAAGGAAACACCTTACTGCTGTCACACCTCTGTACAGTCAGCAGTACGACTTCGCCTTCAGACCTTGGGTTTGTTGCTTTTAGTCTTACCGCTCTTCAACCAACCTGTCTGACATGGAAGGACCTAGAGGAACGGTTGTTCCAGCCAGTATAGCTCGATTGCTTCATCAAGATAGGCAAGCCTGACCACCACGTCAAGGTAGCAACAACGGTCGGGTTGTGTTAATGAGGTATGGCAACTTAGACCGATGCATATATGTGCCGGGTCCTACGTTGTAGCTGACTGACTGACTGAGGATTTATTGCCGACTACCTCCAACCACCTATATGTTAATATTATATCTACTGCCACATAATCTATTGCACACATACAATATAATTATTATGTTTTACACAAGCTTACTCTCTTGTGTGGAATTGCTTAGGGTATGGAATTAATACCAATTTCAACATATATATTCTTTCATTTATATTTTAATCAAATAGAATTTTTCTTATTGACGAATTTCTACAAATTAAATACGTGACTTTTGAATGGACAATGAAATCTTTCTTTTAGAGTGCTTAGCTGTCCTCATATCTGATTTTTCTTGACCAATTTTTTCTTGTTGTTGTGGGGAAATTCAATCACTCCTTTTATTGGCCTATGATTAGATTGGAGAAAGAGACATATCTGTTCACGTGTTAGACAGGTGTTATCCAAGACATTTCTGACATTGTCGTACATATATATGTATAATTTAAACATATCCATATACACATTTATGAGTATGCTCAAATTGTGTATGTGTGTATAAGTGGACAGTAACATTCATATATATATATTTTATTTTATTGAGTTCATATCTGACAGTTAAATAATATAATTTCTGGTTTGTGTTTGTTCCACTATTTTGTCTATGAGGTAAAATCGCTAAGTTGTATATGTCTATCTATCGATCAGAAACGACGCCGACAGTCATACTTCTATCATGTATATTTATGTGTATAATTATCCTACTCATGCATAATTTCTTTGAACTCCTCATTACAGATTATTATTAGTCATTCTTACTATTCTTTCAATTATTAATAACAAAATTTCACAGGATTAATAACTTTCATTTAAAAAAAAATGACTACAGGAACGTCAGCAACAACAGGAGAGAAGAAATCATGAAACACTATCCGTGGATTATCTTATTTCAAACAATTTATTCAGTTATCAATTTGTCTACAAGCAAATTTCTATAATCTTGGATCCAACCAGTACGTGAATATATGTATGTATTATTGATCTAAATGTTTACATGATAAAAAAAAGTTATTAAGGCTAGCAAACTATTAGAGTCTTCTCTATTATGGAATTAAAAATGTTGAAACCATAATAACTTCACCTCTAGGAGATTTAAAATTTAGTTATTTCAAAATGTTATTCTGTTATCTTGGAGATTAGTGTGAAGTTTTGCCGTTATGTAAAATGGTTTAACAAATAGAAAACGATGGTTGATCATAGAGGTCATGAAATGCATAAGTCAAATCAGAGTAATATTAGTACAAGTATCACAAGTCAAGTTAATGATATATCAGTTTCAAATACAGTCAGTATAGGTAACAATAATATATCGACTGATAGGTTTCGGGATGATAATCTCGAAGAGGATGAAACAGATGAAGCAGAGGAAACAATCAAGGTGGAAAATGTGAATAATGAGGAAAATCGAATTACTCATAATTATAATAATCAAACAACTGATATAGTAAAAATGAAAAGTGGTCTTTCAAATTATACAAATCAAAATGATCATAGTAAATCTCAAAATTATGATGAATTTGATTCAAAAAGTGGAATAATCTATCAAAAATTAGATTCTTTCAAAAAACCATACACGCACACAATTACAACAACAACTACTAACATTACTACTAATACTATTACTACTGTAACCACTACCAATTCAACTATACCATTAACTGTTAAATTAAATATTCATAAAGAGAATGAAAATAATTTAGAAATGTCCAAAGATGAAACAATGCGTAATTTAGCTAGACGTACACTAGCCATTGGTATACCTGGATTACATCCATCCAATCATAAAACATTATTTATATTCTCTGAAGAGAATGCAATTAGAAAATATTCAAAAATTATCATTGAATGGGGATATCCTTTTTTCTTTGCTAATTTTTCATGATAGTCATTCATACATTGAAATGATGACAGCAACGTCATGATTATCATAGAAGGAAGTTATTGTTTTATTGGTCTTTTATGTTTAAGTTTTCCACTTATTTGTTTTTCCTGAATGGTTACAAATTATTATTATTATTAGTTAGATTCATGAAAGAGTTTAACCTGGTTTATAGAAATTCAATTATTGTTTTAGTTTTATCGATCTGTTGTTTACATTTTTTTAGGGTAAGTAATAGAAATTAGAATGGGACAAAAGTAGAGAAGTTTTTTTTTTGATATATGTTTCTATGTATATAATGTTATATCATGTTAGGTGGTTAGCAATTAAATTAGTTAATATTTACTTAATAAGTTCTATGTTCCAATCCACCTCCAATTATGTTTGGTTTAGATTAATGGATAGTATCACTAATCAGTACATAAATTGTATGGTTCAAAATGAGGTGAATAAACATGTATATGGGTTACATGAAATTTATAAAATAAACTATAAACTTATGTTAAAAGTCTGAAATAACTTTTAAATTACAAGCTGATGTCAGTTGAAGAAGCAGTTGTTTAAAGAGAATATGTTTATCATAAGATGGATAGGTCTCACTAAGGATAGAATAGTCAGTTAATGTTTTATAGTTTTTAATGATTACTTGACTGATGTCGACTAGTCACAAGCAACGTAGGAACTGAGACATATTTTCATTGGCCTAAATTTTCACACTAGATCAATAAATTGTGATTCAATAAACAAGCTAAATTTCATCTATAATGATAGAAGTAGTTATACTACCACTGACAGTAGAAAAAAAAGAGAACATAGTTCGAGAACCGAAAATTCAATATTAAACGGATCATAATAATAAACGCATCTGATCGATCAATTTTTTTTTAACTATTCAGTATCTCTGACAATACGTAGGTCGTTGGTATTTATCCATACGAATTAGACTGATAATCAATCCAACAGATTTCAATTAATGACAATAGTTACTTCCATATAATTATATATTTGTGACAACCTAGACAAACCTATTAAGTAGATAGCTTTATAATTAGTAATTCGTCATACAAAATTAATAGTCTAGTAATTGAAAGATATTTTTTCATCATCATAGTTTAATGAGTATGTATTGTTGCTTATATCAAGATAATGACTTGAAGAGAATTATCATTTCCATTGTAAATATTCGGGATTTCGTCAAACTTAATATGTTATTGAAAAGGCAAGCTTATAGTGGTGTTACATTTTCTCAGGTAGATGATTACATTGTAACTGTACACCTTGATAACATTATCGAGTAGAATTAATCACCGATAATATTGTTCAGAATGATAATGAAAGCTTTGTTGTTAAATTATTCTGTTCAGGGAACACAATACCATGAAATTATAATTAGTGGTCTACTAAAAATGAGTAACTGTTTGCCATAAATAATTCGTAAATATAGTTTCAGAAACGAATACTTCTTTGATAAACTAATCATAGTGTCAAATTTTCCATAGTGAATATTCTATCCATATATAATACATCAAATTAAGTTTAACTGAGTTAGTTAATTAAATAGATACGGGTATATTTTAAGTGTTGTCACGAATTTTTCCCACTATACAATCATAATGTTACAATTTATTTTGCAATTTCAATAGTTGAGATCACCAGTCAATTGAAGCCAGATCACCATGGAAAACCTGGAAACATTGGACGACTGTTTCGTCCCATTGTGAGACTCCTCAGCAGTGCGTATCCACGATCCCGCCCCCACGCGAAATCCGAACCCAGTCTCGTGCACGAGCACTTAATCTCTAAAGATTGTGGATGCGCACTGCTGAGCAGTCCCAAAATGGGACAAAAGGGCCGTTCAGTACTTCCAGGTTTTTCATGGTGATCTAGCTTTTATTGACTCACGATCTCAACTATTGAAATTACTATAATATCCACAAAAACCCCTTTTGGTATTAATTTATTTTGTGTTGGATATTTTTGTCAGTTTGTATCATGAAAAAGAACAGTTTCCACTTCTTTTTTTAATTTTTTCAAAATCAATATGGTACATGGTATCCGGATTATTCAAGAAAATTTTTTTCAAAATAATCATTTTGCTAAGCATGATTAGCTCTAGGGTGAATTATCTGCACCAAAACAAAAAACACTTTCTCTTTAAACAGTATCATTTTAAATTCACTTGGTGTTGTTTGAATTCACATTCACCCCATTGCACAAGCAAGTGGCTATCAGGACTCAGTAAATGAGTGGATAACGCGATGTCGTTTGAAGCGAATGTTACTGTGTTCGAGTCCCAGAGTGAACATCAAATCTCTGAGGTGCAAGTACATCCAGCTGACGAGTCTCAAATAGGACGAAACGCGCGTCCTGGATTCCACTGCTAGCCACTATCCATCAGTATCATTTTAGTTCATGTTATGTAAGTAGACAACAAGAATAATGGACACATGACAATTGTAAAATTAGATAAGGAAGTTTAGTTCAGCGAAGAGTTCTCTTTTCGGCGAATTCATTTTCAAAGCTTTACAATCGCAAATATATATACTTTTTTTTCAGGACGATTATAGTTACAATAATAATGATAATAAACTTCTGTTAGACAGTGAGGCAGAATTAACAAATGTATTAAAAAACGTTTTTCAACAGGTAAACTAATAATCGTTTGATTGTTAAGGGCTTAAATACTCATCATAAAGATAGATAGGGCAATTATCATCGGGAAAGGATGGTTCAGCATGATAACATAAAATGTTGGAATTGAGATTAAATGTAATCAGGAGGATTGTAGAAACAGAAATAAACCAGTTAGGGGCGGAAGATTAAATGGAGATGTAAGGGGAAGTAGATGGCTATAAATGAAAAAGGGTATTAGAAAAATTTTAAGACATTAAGTCCATGGTAGAAGAAGAGGTTGTACCAATCTCTTTCGGACACACAAGAAGATGCAATATAATTGTCTTTGGAAGACTTCTACTTACTTTGTAGATTACTTTGAATGCAAAGTCTGTCTTGATTAACTGACCTGTGTTCACAAGATATTCGATTATTGAACTTCTTATTGAGCCGTTTTCTCCTTTTCTTAGACACGCCAGATAATGTTCTTGATTTCTTTTGGATAAAGTACTCATCGAACGACCTATATACCTGGCTCCAAATGAGCAGGTAAATTGGTAAGTACACACTCAATTGGTCAGATGAGATAATTTATCCTTAAGATTATTGGTGAACAATGAATGGCTGGAGAATACTATTCACAATTTGGCTGCGAAGAACGTTCTTTTTAAAGAACCAGAAATTCTCCTCTTTAAGACGTATGTGGCTCTGTCACCCTTAAAGTCGGTTTTTATGTATGACGTTTTCTTTTTGACTGAAGTTATTTGTGTTTTCGGCGCTTTTGGTTTCGATTTTCTTACCAATGAATATTGAAGAATACCCATTTTTGATATGTATTTCCTTCAGGAGGCTCAGTTCGTCATCTGTGACCTCGGGACTACAAATTCCTTGTATTCGCGTGGCGAGTGATATTATTAAGTTTCTCTTTCGATTAAGAGCACCCAGCTGTGGAAACTTGATAGTTAGTCATTCCATATGGGTTTCCTATAGATAGATCTTCCTAGAGTTCCATCTTGTTTTCTTGTCATTTTCACATCAAGAACGTAAATATTTTGTTTGTTATAAAATTAACTCACTGAGTTAATAGTTTGAAATTTATCTTTGTGTTATCCCAATTTTTTTCATGGAATTTTATGTAATCTTTCTTTTAATGTGTTAGGGATTATGGTAATTACGGGAAGACAAAAATAGTGTTTTTTTCTAACAAAATTCTAATATTTTGATTTTGTTTCCCATTTTACATTGATTGCCAGATTTCACTTTACGTTTCAATGTAAACTACTAATTAGAAAATATTCTTAAAAATGTGGTGTAGAATTAGGAAACTATTAAGTTTGTCTGTGTTACGTATTAACTTTCCAATATGTCCACATTTTGTGTTACTATGGTAAAAATAATTCTTTGGAAGTAATCACCTGATATCGGTATGATTAGAAAAGGAAGTTAGTGATTGAATTTCAGTGTTTATGCATGGTTATGTATCCCTGAATCTTAGATTTTTCTAGACTTAAACTGTCTATTTCATTGAGATCGTTATCACTTTCCGATTAGAATTTCCTTATTTTTTGTAGTGAAATAAGAGCCTACATAATATATATATATATATATATATATATATATATATATATATATATATATATATATATATATATATATATATATATATATATATATATAGGAGATTCAGGTTGTATTTTTATTTCATCAGACAAAGAATAACTGTATATAGACATTATTAGGCAGTCTTTTTATTTCATTTCGAAAATTCTTACCAGTCCTCAGCTAAGAACATATAGGGATAAGACTAGATATCAATGATTACCAGGTCTGGTTGTAGGCGCACTATTTTAAGGTACAACCCAGAATCCGATTCCTCAGATCTTCAAATTTGGTGAATCGTTCAGATAGTGTATTCTTCATCAATTATCACTGGCGAAGTGCTGCATTGACTGAACCTTACTCCAAATATACCGACCTCTTAATCAAACTTCATGAAATTCATCTTTAGGGCTAGTCAATAGTGATCGTGCACAAAGAAATTTTCATTGTTTATGTCACCGACTGACCTTAGTTAGATAACTGTTAAATACCAGGAAGAATTGAACTGTACTTTCGTTTTAGTATGAGACTTCTTGTTAGTGCACATCCATGATGGTGTCGTTCAGAATAACGATGAAAGCTTGATGACCAAATCACACAGCTCAGAGAACCAAACTACACTAAAACCTTCTACGACCTCACCAGGAATCAAACGCAAAACTTTCAAACCTTACAGTGAGCATATAACCTTCAGACCCTAAGTTTAATTAAGATTAATCCGATGTAAAAATTATAACATGTACCAATGACCATGATATTTCTATATCAACAATGGTAAACTTTAATATTGT